TAGTTAACTACCAACGACCAAATGGTTTAGCTTATCTTTCAACATATATATGATTGCTAAATCAAGTAGGCCCTAATGCAGCCCTGTAATACAGCACCTGATGGCTATCCACTTTGATTTATAATCATATAAAATCTCTAAAGCCTTGGTATTGCCAAAGTAACCAGCTAACCCACCTCCATGAGCTTCTCTAATCAGCAAATCACGTATAGAGCCCTTGGGTATACATAATCGGTTGTTTTTTAAAAGAAAAATGTCTTGAACAACATAAGGCCCTCGAGAGTTGTTTGGGGCTAACTTGAGGATAGCTGCAAAATCTGGATCATCTTTATAAAGTTCCTTGATAAAGGAAAATCCAAAAACTCGAGCTTCCACAATGGACAACATGGAGTGTCTTCTAGAGAGTGCATCAGCCACAATATTTGAGGAACCAACCTTATGTTTGGATGCAAAAGAGAACATTTGCAAAAATTCAACCCACTTAGCATGTCTTGAATTGAGTTTATGCTGCCCATTAATGTACTTAAGGGCCTCATGATCCGAAAAGAAAACGAACTGCTTTGGCTTAAGGTAATGAGACCAATGATCAACAACACGGATAATGGCATAAAACTCCTTGTCATATGTGTTATAGTTTAGTTTGGATCCATTAAGCTTCTCATTAAAATAAGCTACCGGCCATTTTTCTTAAACCAAAACAGCCCCAATACCAACACCACTTGCATCACACTCGAGTTCAAAAAGTATGTCAAAGTTAGGTAAAGCAAGTATAAGTGTTGAACTAAGCATCTCTTTCAACAATTCAAATGCTTTTTGGGTAGATTTAGACCAATCAAAAGTCCATCTCTTAAGGTAATCAATTATAAGAGCAACAAGTTAGAGAAGTTTTTGATAAATCTCTTATAAAAAGAAGCCAAGCCATGAAAACTTCTTACCTCCATGATGGAACTTGGAGTAGGCCACGATTTGATTGCCTCCACCTTGGATGGATCCATAGATATTCCTTGCTTAGAAACCACATAGCCAAGAAATACAACACTAGGCACCATGAAGTCACATTTTTCCATCTTTTCATAGAGTTTATGCTTCCTTAATAAATCAAACACCCTTCTTAAATGGCCCAAGTGTTCTTCATCAGATTTGGAGTAAACAGGGATGTCATCAAACCCAATAAATGGCCTCATGACTTCATTCATCAACCTCATGAATGTACTAGGAGCATTAGACAAACCAAATGGCATAACAAGCCATTCGTAAAGGCCACCCTTGATTTTAAAGGTTGTTTTCCATGCATCCCCCTCTTTCATTCCGAGTTGATGGTACCCACTTCAAAGATCAACCTTAGAAAACACACAAGCACCATGCAATTCGTACAACATATCATCCAATCTAGGAATGAGGTACATATATTTGATGGTAATGTTGTTAATGGCTCGACTATCAACATACATACGCATAGTACCATCTTTTTTTGGAACCAAAAGGGCTGGAACAGAACATGTACTCATACTAGTCCTCACATAGCCTTGAGAAACCAAGTCATCTACTTGTTTTTGCAATTCCTTGGCCTCATTAGGGGAGCATCTATAGTCTGCCTTGTTGGGAAGGATTGAACCAGGAACCAAGTCAATTTGGTGCTCAATTCCCCTAATAGGAGGCAAACCAGGGGGCAACTCTTTAGGAAACACATCAGCAAATTCGATCAACAAGTGCTTCACCAAACTAGGGACATCATCACTTTTTTTTTCATCATGTTCTAACATTATCAACAAAAGTACACAAACACCAGCATCTAACTCCTTTTCCACCTCCTTTGGATTCATGAACAAACCCCTTTCACTTTTACTTCCCTTTTCAGCTTTTGACTATTCATAGGGTTTTAATGAGGCAAGGGTGATTTTCTTTCCATTCACATAGAGAGAGTAAGTGTTCAAGTGCCCATTGTGATAGTCATATTTATCAAACAACCAAGGTCTACCTAGCAGCAAATGACAAGCATCCATGGGCACAACATCACACTTTATCTCATCATGATAAACAACACCGATAGAAAAAGGAACAACTACTTAGCGAGTAACTTTTACCTCATTCCCTTGGCTAAGCCATTGGATTTTGTAAGGACGTGGGTGTTGCAATGTAGAAAGACCAATCTTATCCACCATATAGGTTGAGGCCGCGTTTGCACAACTTCCCCCATCTACTATCAAGTCACACACTTTGCCTTTGACTGTGCACCTTGAATGGAAGATGTTATCTCTTTGAGCTTTGATACTAGGAGCTTCAATAGAGTGCATGACTCTCTTAACCACCAACATTTCACCACAATCAGCCCCTAAAACCTCATATTCATTAGACTCATCATAAATAGGCTCTTGTTCAAATTCTTCCTCTTTTTGCAAGTCTTCAACCTCCTTTAATGTAAGAGCTCTTAGATTGGGACATTGAGCTTGGAAATGCCCAAACCCATGAAATTTGAAGCATTTCTTCCCCTTAGGTTTTATTGATACTTATCCCATCTTCTCCTTACCTTTAAAAGTCTTGTGCGCAAATTCGGTTTCCTAGTGCTCTTTATAGGAAATGTGGGCTTGGTAAATGGCTTGTAATGTTTCTCCACTTTGATTGCGAATATGCAAGCTCCTTCAAAAGTCCATAAAGGATGCAACTCAACTTTTTCACTAAGGGAGGCATTTAGACTCCCAATAAACCTTGCAATGGTGTGTTCTTCAGCCTCTTACATTAGTACGAATTTTGAGTTGTTCAAACTCTCTAATCTAGTCCACCACCTCTTTGGTTCCCTGTTTTAAGTTGCTCATTTGAATGTAAAGGTCTTGCTTATAAGCATGAGGAACAAACCTTTTCTGCATACATTCTTTGAGCTTGGACCAGGTTTTGATCTTCTTCTTTCCTTTAAGCTCCCTTTCATGCTTCATGTTGTCATACCACAATGAAGCATACTTCTTAAGCTTAATCACCACCACTTTTAACTTCAATGATTCTATCCATGGTTTGAACCCATTCAAGATAGTCATCAGGGTTTGAAGAACCTTCAAACTCTGGTGGATCAACTTTTATGTCTCCTAAATCATCCTTCCTCTTCTTACGTCTTCTTTGTTGTGAGGACACTCCGGAATCACTAGAGGATCTGTTAACCTCTTCAGATTCTTCACTTGATTCATGATTTCTAGGATTTCTAGGATTTCCATCATCTCCACCATCTCTTCTTGGGCCACCTTCTTCTAACAGTTGGAGAATCCTACCCATTTGTTCTTGCAAGGCTTCAATTTGTCTATCCCTTCGTTCATTGTGAGCTTGTTCCAAGGTTAGATTTCTTTAAGCCCTCTTCAAAATAAAACAACCACCAAAAGCTCCAATACCAAATTTGATGTGATTTTCTAGTATTTTGACAACAAACTAAGGATGAAGGCAAAAAACTTATGATGGGGCTGGAACAAAAACGAAAATTACAAGATAAGGATTCCACCACTCTAATCTATAAAAAGAAATAACATCCACCAAGATTAAAGATAAAGAAATTAAGAACCCACCACTCTAATCTATAAAGGAAAGCAATCCACCAAGATTAAAGATAAAGGGAACACTTCAAAGCACCAAGATCAAAGATCTATAAAGGAAATGAAGATTTCAACAAATAGAGAGAAACTCCATGTTCATATTCATCAAAATCTGCTCTTTACAAGGAGGACACTCTAATACATACATAAATTCATTTTACCACTTAGACACAATAAAACCAAGGTTGAAAAATAAAGATTTATCCCTCAAGGACAACAAAAGTCAGCCAATTACAACATAAAAGTAAATCTGTCCAAACAGGCCCAAAAAACAGAAGAAAAAAAAACCATCACCTCTGTTTGCAAAAGGGTAGCAACTATAAGGGGAAATGATCAGCTCCTCTTTCTAGAATGGTTGGTCTTGTTCCCCTCTAAAATGATGCTTTAAAATGGCTATAAAACTTGGCTACCAATCTTTAAAACAACTAAGGGACATTTTAACTAAAATCACACGCACGTATTATGCATGTGCATGTGATCTTATTTAATGGAAGCATATAAAAATGACCAGCTCCAAAATGATCAATTCTATCCCCTAGGCTAATTTGTGGAGCATGGTATATCCTTTGTAGCAACTAGGATTTCTCAAAAGATCACATTTCCAAAATGTGATATTGCTAGTAAGACAACGATAACTTGATTAGGATCCATATCAACCATATGATTTTTGTTGGAGTGTTGGTTGTTGTTGGATACACCTGTATCACACCACCCTTTGAGGCACCCTATCGCACTTGTTCCATGGTCATCAAGGAGGTGGTAATCAACACATGCATCTTATTGTAGGGACGTTCCAATTTATTTGGAGGCCTGCTATATTCAAAACTTTTGAGTACATTATAAAAATGAGATATCAGATAATATATATTAAGAAAATAATGGAATAAACCTAAAACGATTAACAATCTGAAACTAAACCTAAACCATTAATAATTTGAACCTAAAACCAAACAATTAATGATTTGAACCTAAATAATTTCGGGTATAGCTTTACACAAGTCGATAAAAAGACCCTAAACGCATGTAAATTTAGGCCCAAAAATTTCGGAGGCCTTGTCAAAATATCACATTTAACATGCTAAGGAACGGCCTTGCTCATTGACAGATGAGTGGTGCGGCTGGTGTTGAAGCTCAAACCCGGGACCTAACACGTATGAGTGCACAACCACGCTTGTTATAAAAATGCCAGCCTTTCATCTTTCTTCTTCGTCCAAACACATTTCTCGAGCAACCATAAAACCACAAGCAAACCATGAGTCGAATGCACGCAAGGATAGTGAAAAAGTGTGATGAAGCAAAAGTAATGAACCCAAAATGCACTTAACATTGAGGTTAAAGGCGGGAAAGGATGATCACGATACCCTCGCATTTGGTAAAAGTTGCCACTTCAAAACCTCCGCAAGTTAAAACACAACGGAGAACCAAAATATAAATCTTATCACACATAACACTTTGATTAAATGCAGACAAAACAATGTTACAATACTTACAAACTACTGGAAAAATATGATCAGTATCATAGTATAGATATAATGTATACCAGAAAGTAGTGTCAACTTAAAATTCGATAAAAGATAGATGGCCGAGCATCGTTTGAGTTATTCCAATAGACCAGTCGTGACATTCATCATGAAGCCTAATTGTCTCCTTGTCTCAGCATCCGTAGTATTGCCAAGAAGAGATTTAGTATGTCGAGATAAAGAGTGACGGATGCCCAGATGTACTCATCGTAAGTAAACCGCTTAATCAAGTTCTCTGTGTCATAGATTATGTACCCGGAAAACAACACCGCACCAAGTCCACCGATAATGGCGTTTGATGTAGGTCCCACGGGAAAGAACATCTGCAGCACATATTCATACATGATATTAATGCCAAATGTACAGTAATTAATATAAATTTATTCCTGCTAAATGCATCGTATACAAAACCCTAGTTGGCTTAGAAGTTAATCAATGAATCCTGGTGCCTCATGGAGCATCAATGGCCATGCCCAATGGCTGGAAGGCCATGCCCAATGGCTGGAAGGGCTAAAGTTTTTTTTTTTGAGTGGTGTCAAGGGCTCTCCGTTGATCATGTAGACTAGTTGGGCTCAGGCGACGAATAAAAATCACTTGTCCTTCAACTGTCCATCAATCAACTCTTGACACATCATCGCTTTAATGAAGAGAGAGCACTTTATTGTAGAGAGATAAAATAGATGGCAAATTGCATCAAAATAAACAAAGTTTGGTTAGTTCCTATCTAGTACAACGAAGATTTTTTTTTCTTAGTCAATGTCATAAAGTTGCAAAATTTGCAATTTTGTACCCATTTTAACCAGTAACCCAGTAATCTTGTAACATTTGATAACATAGATGCCCATTTACTTACTCATTAGCAGGTTGGCAGTCAAAATAGGTAAAAGAAATGAAATTTTGTTACATTAATTGGAAAAAAGATACTTTGTTACACTAAATAGGAACCAAAGCGAACTTCATTGCATTTTGCCACAAATAAATGTATAGTAAACAAAGCAAGGATGTGTCAAGAGTTGATTGGTGGGACAAGAAGAGAACATGATGTTTGGACAGGTGATTCATATTCCGGCCAAAAGTGTCATCAAGAGAGAGAGATAGAGAGAGAACCTGCATAAAAGTAGTGACAAGGAGAATAATAAGGCTGGTGAACAGAATTGGTCCCAGGAAGCTAAAGTCCTTGCCCTTCTTTGATGCCCAGAAAGTGTAGGCAGTCAGAGATGAAACCACTGCTGAGGTTAGAATTAGAGCTTCCAGCACAATCTTTCCTGTATGAATAAGAATTATGGATATATGTTAACACAAGATATCGTATTACATAAAATTGTGTTTACGAACATTAAGAGATAACATAAAGAATACGAACCATCTGTGTTGGCACAGCTTACACCCACGGTAAGACTCAGGGATGCTGTAAAGAGTCCGAGGAAGACAAAGTTGAGGGGATGCTTTTGCTGATAGACATGCAACGGCCACAACACTGCAACAAAATTTATCCGTCATTTTATCAGACCCTTATGCAATACAGAATATCAAATAGGATGATGGATATACAAGAGAATGTGTTGCTCCCTCTGCCCCAAAAAAAACATGCCCATTTGTAATTTTTCTTTGTCTCAGATAAGAGTTCCTATTTTAAAATTTTAACGTTGTGGAAACTTTAGAATCCAACCAAATGAACCCAGTGAATCCCACATGGAGTAGGAGTTTGCGGATGGTAGGATGTAAGCAGACCTTACCTCTACCCGAGGGGTAGCGAGGCTATGTCAGAGATATTCCTAAATTACCTACGTATTTCTGAATATACATAAACGGGTCAATCTGTTAGCATCTTAATCTGGGTAAATTGATGGAAAGAAACAAACTGTCTTTTAAATTGCTTCTAGGTTGTAAGGTGGATTATGGATCTTCTAGACACATCATAGACATGACAATCAGTCTATCATCCAAGTACACTCTACAATAGTCAGAGATTGAGGAAAGGTCCAGATCATTAACTTGCTCAAAGTGGTGCTTGATCAATCAACAACTATGATCAAATAGGTTTGATTTGGTAAAAAATGAGTGGCCAAAATAGGAACCATGATGGTATGTGTAGCAAAGGAGAGCCGAGAAGACAAAAGAAAAGGCAAGAGCCATGAATTACTCTGCCACAAAGACATTTGTGAAAAAAGGCATGAATTGCAACAAGTTAGTTATAAGACATAGCTAAAGCCTAAAAGACTCGAGCCATAAGAAAAAAAATGACCAAGGTTCCTTGGTCCAAAACATGATTGAGATATGTACCTCAAGGACACCCAACTTGTGATCATCAATGTTTAGACTATGTTTGGCAAACTAGCTGATAAACTGGTCACTAGTAAATCTATTGATAAGCTAGATGACAATGTAAAATGACCCAAATGGAAATGTTGAGAACATACTCAAGTCTAACATATAAGGAGCATAATTGGCAAAAAGAAGAGAAAAATAAGAACCCTGAGCTTATTGAAAAGCTATTTGAATAGCTTTTTGAAAAGCTAGTTTATGGCTTACACAGAGAGCTTTTTCAATAAGCTCAAAAGATAAGCTAGTTTATGCCAGCCAAGCATGCCCTTAGAGAACCCCAAATTGGGCCAAGACTTTATGCTCCAAAAGAAGGCAGAATTCTTAGACACTCCGAACCCCTGAATCCCTGATTACTCTAACAAAAGCCAAAATACACAAGTACTGAAGGCACCAAAGGGTGGCAAGAGCTGAAAAACCCAGGTGCAATGACAACATAGACTTCTATTCCACTCCCTTCCAAGAAAGTTCAAATATAATTGATAATACTAGAAATCTCCATACCAAACAATTGAATACGAATGATCATAAAAAGGTAACACCCAGATCAACACAACAATAGAAGGGATCATATAACTTTTCTATCTTCATCTCTTGCGGTAGCCAGTAAGGAAGATAAACAAGAACTGGCAATTTGATTTCTATCCATAGGTTATGAGCACAGATCTGGAAACCACTGAATAGAGAAATACACCACAGCTCTGTATGCAAAGCACGTTCACACAATGGATCACGAGGCATACATATAGAAATGAGGTGAATCAAAATCATCTTGTTTCTTTAGATCTCTCTTAGAGAGTCATCGATGATTCTTATTCAAATTTTTGGTATATAGATGGTTTTCAAAATCTATAGCAAAGGGGTTCCGAAAATTATATCCATTAAACTCTTTGAAACTGCAAAATTTTAAGAATGAAAAATAAATCATGGATGAAAGATACGATCAAATAAATGTGAGATCTAGGGAAACATACGGATGAAGGGCAAGAAAACAAAAAATAGCAGGAGGCCGGAATTGCCACGAAGGAGTTCGTTGATAGGAGCATATAGAACGGTGAGGAAAGAGACAGCGGTGGTGAGGACCATCTGGGCGGCGAGAATTCCGTAAACCTTACGGATGAAGCCCCAACGAAGCTGGTTCTCTCCATGGCTGATTCCAGGGTACAGAACTCCCTCTTCGATATCCCCTTCGCGATCTTCCTTCGTGCTTACCCTTGTGAATTCAAACATTTTTGCGATCGCAATTACTTCTTTCTCTCAAAGTCGCCGCCTGCTACCCCCTCTCTCTCTCTCTATGCCTTGTTAAATGGGTGAAAGAAGATGCGATGAGAGAGAATTAAGGCCAGTGGAGTTCGAGTCAATGAGTCGTGACAAAAGGAGCCTGGGTGTCGATCAAGATTTACATCCAACCCAACAGTTAATACGTATTTCTTTTAACGTAAAGATATGAAAAGAATCTTGTCATGAACCCGACGGCACATCCACCTTCCACACCAGCCAATCAACATCATCGGGACCTTTGATACGACAGACTTCAACCCAAGTTCTTTCTCGCGACGCCCACATCTTCGTCTTCAAGAGTAGTTTCTTCGTCGGCGATGTTCACCGAGATCCCAGTTCCTCACGCCATTCTAAATGGCTTTGAGTTAACGGATTAGGGGTCAGATTAGAGTTAGTCGTTAGTCGTTAGGCCAAGCACCGAATTCGTAATAACATGTATACCATGGGGAGAATGAGTGTAACTATTTTACTTTAGGGATGAAACCGTAATTACGTATTTTATAACGCATCAAGCCCTTTTTTTCATAAATAAATTACGGATTACATCCCTCTTGTTTACATTTTCTGATATCACCAGTCTCTTAATTTGTTAAAGTAGGTTAATTCAAGGGGCATTTTAGTCATTTTACCTTTTTTTTTTTCTTATTTTCTCTTAAAAAGGTTAAAAAGTAGTTATACATAAAATATATTGTTTTTTCTGTACATATACATTACACATGGAGAGGCATGCCAATCAATCTCCTCATTTTGTCGACCTCGCAATCAATCTCCAGCCAATCTCGCCATTAGCCCATTACCGTTCCCCAATCTCCAACTATGAAATATTATATGTACATCAAACGACATGAACAATCCCCCCCCCCCCAAGAAATGAACCCTTCCTCACATGTTCACAAATACCTATTTAAAGAAATTTGTCATCTTCGTCAACACACAAGGTAATCATCATCTCGTCATTTCTGGACTTTCCTTTTCCCTTATCGTACCCCTCGCGGCCCCAAACATTATCGTCTCTTCCTCCCTATACAAAGAGCTCTAAACTCAATAACTACCATCCCTTCTTGTTGTCTCTTTCCTCCACCTACACTATCGCACATAAGCATCACCAAAATTTGCTTTCAACTTCTACATCACGAAGATGCGAAGAACCTTGACTATTAGACGATTATTTCACATCTCATGGTATCTAGGATGTTTGTTTGTTTGAAATTGATTTAGGGTTTTGTTTATTTGATTTAGATTTAGTAATTGTGATTTACAGGGTTATGTATCACAAACTTTTTCAATGGATTTGTACAAAATTGTTGTAAAATTGTTGTTGTATTCATGATGTTCATGTTTGATGTTTAGAGTTGATGCCTTATGTCTAGGAATTTAAAAGGGCACCATGGCGCACGACGTAAAATGTGTCTTCACCGTTGTGGTAAGGCGTTTTAGTGTTTGTGTAAGGTGTCGCGTCGTGACATGCCCTTTTTATAAGGTGCTATTTTTTTCTCAAAAAATATTTTATTCTTTTAGATTTCGTGTTTTTATAATATTAACTTTAATTTTTACACTTTTACATATTTCACCTATTCACACACATCACAGACTCATAGTTAAAAAAAATATGTAAAACTCTTCAAAGTTCTGTTTCAAATATTTGATTCCAAACTCGTTATAGTATATATACATACATACATACATACATACACATATCGTCAGGTTCAGGAAAAAACACCATAAAAATGAAAAATCAAGGAACATCATGGTAATCGTTCATCTGGAAGATATAAACATGTGCATAAAAGTAATTTTGTAAGCAATTTGTCCGATATGACTATATGAATGACATGCACAAGTGCATATAAATCAAGAAACAACTTCAATTATATGTATGCACAAGTGCATATAAACCAAGAAACAACCTCAATTATATGTATGCACATGTGCATATAAACCAGATGAATGGTTGTCAGGGTATTCCTTTTTTTTTGGGGGGTCCCTTTGAACCTCCTACTCTTATATATATATATATATATATATATATATATATATATATATATATTAGAAAGGTATCCGCATAATGCAGTGAGATACATCTTGATTTTAATGTTTCTTTTGTCTCAATCGATGTTATAATACGGTTTGAGAAAGCGATAATATTTTTATTTATGAATAAAATATAAATATGAAGATAACATAAAAATTTGAAAAAATATATTGATATTAATACCAAACTAACTATTATTTTATTTGTTTTGGTTTTTGATGTAATTTACTTAATTCATTTTTTTTATTTTAGGTTTAATAATGATGTTATTAATTTTTGGATTAATAATATAATTTTTTATAAAGATAATAATTTAGTATTTTGTTAGAACTCAATAATTATCTTAATTATATTTTAAATTTTTTATATTTAAAATGAGATATTTATCCTCTTTTTAATTATATTTATCTGCAGTTACTTACACGAATTCAAACATAGAGGTTTAATAAGTTAACTTGTATACAATTTACTTGTAATCTTGATTTATAAGTAATATGCATCAATGAATGTAATTCATGCATAAAAAATAGTTTTTAAGAGTTTTATCAAATGCTTCATAATATAGTATAAAAGTATAGATATATAGGATTGAGTTCCGGTGAAAATGATAGTTAAGGTGAGAAAGGCAAGAAGGATCTCCACCCTTGAATGCATATTATATATATATACACATACTAGGTTCGATCTCGTATATTACACGGGGTAATTTGAAAAAATTAAATCATGTTAGAAATTTATCTTACATATATGAATGATTATCAAAAGTACGATACTACTTTTAGATTTGTACTCTTAAAATAACTTTGAGGAATAACTCTAAAAATGACTCTTCACACTTGAATTTAGAAATGAAACTAATTCAATAATAATTAGTTAAAATGAAGTTAACCCTAGAATAAAATTAATTTTATAAATGAAACTATATCAGTAAATTGAATTTAAACTTAAGAAATAAATTTAGAATGACTATTCAGACTTCTACTCTTGAAATAACTTTGAAGCATAACTCTGAATAATGTCTTCAGACTTGTACTCTTGAAATAACTCTAAAGTAAAACTCTTCAGACTTCAGATCTCTATATAGGCAAGCAGAAGCTCTACATGCACTATGCAAAGGCTTTGCATGGTGCTCCGTCTGGAAAAGAAAATTTTCAGAGTTCGGGTGAGATAACTTGAATAATGACTCTTCAGACTTGTACACTGGAAATAACTCTGAAGTAAAACTCTGAAGAATGACCATTCAGACTTGTAATCTTGAAATAACTCTGAAGAATAACTATTCAGACTTGTAATCTTGAAATAACGCTGAAGTATAAAATCAATCCTACTAAATCAGAGTTCAGACTTCTAAGCCTGGAAAAAAAAGACTTTAGAGTTTGGGTGAGCTAAGTCTGAAAAAAGAAGACTTCAGAATTAGGGTGAGCTAACTCTGAAGAATGACTCTTCAGACTTGTAGAAGACTTCAAAGTCCAGACTTCTAAGTCTGAAAAAGAAGACTTCCGACTTCTTTTTCTAAGTCTAAAAAAATGACTTTAGAGTTCAAACTTCTAAGTTTGAAAAAGAAGACTTCAGAGTTCAGACTCCAGAGTTCGAGTGAGATAATTCTGAAAAGGCACACTTCAAAGTTCGGGTGAGCTAACTATTTAGAATCACTCTTCAGACTTGTACTCTTAAAATAACTCTGAAGTATAACTCTGAAGAATAACTTCAGACTTTTACTCTTGAAATAACTCCAAAGTAAAACTCTGAATAATGACTTTAGACTTGTACTATTGAAATAACTCTAAAGTATAACTTTGAAAAATAACTCTGAAGTATGACTCTTCAGACTTGAATTTAGAAATGAAACTATATCAATAATTAGTTAAAATGGAGTTAGTCCTAGAATAAAATTTAATTTAGAAATGAAACTATATCAGTAAATTGAACTTAAACTTAGAAGAGCGCATGTGTCAAATCTGAAGGCGAAATCTAAAGACCTTGAGTTCAGAGTTATTCAAATACCCAATATCTTTGAAAAAGACCCCATGGTAAAATTTGCATCATAAAGAGCAAGAGCAACCAGAGCTCCTCTGGTCCTTAAAGACCAGAGCCCTTGTGGACTCACCAACCGAAAGCAAGGCCAATCCAAAAGCAAGGCCAACCGAAGGCCCTCTGGTCAACCAGAGCCTCTGGGTCAAAAAAATGTTAAAACCTTAAAGAATTTGAGTTCCAATTACAACCAGAGATCCGCTGGTTAAACATGAAGATCAGCCAGAGCCCCTCTGGTTCCTTTATGATGGATTTGAATATTTTTCCAATGTTCAAATAAACAACCAGAAGCAAAGCCATCCAAAAGTCAAACCAACCAGAAGGGCTCTGGCTTACAAGACTAAGTCTAAGTCTTAAAGACTTATCTTCAAAGTCTATATAAGTTTATTACAAGACTTGTACTCTAGAAATTACTCTGAAGTAAAACTCTTCAGATTTCACAGCTCTGTATAGGAAATCCAGAAGCTCTGCATGCACTATGTAGAGGCTCTGCATGGTGTTCCATCTGGAAAAGAAGACTACAAAGTTCGGATGAGCTAATTCTGAAAAATGACTCTGTTGATCCTCTCTCTGTGATTTGATGATTATCCCTTTTCACTTATACGTTGTATTTATGTTACTGTCTTTTCAGTTCCAGCGATCATCACTGAACCTGTTTAGTGATCGCTGAAGAACTTGTATTGTAATTCAATCAGAGACAACGATACTTCAATAAGACAACACTCACACTAAAGAACCTTCAGCTAATGTCAAAGACTGAAACTGAAGATTAGAGACTGGCGAGTTCATGATCTGAAGCGGTACTCAGTGATTACAAGCCCGTCTACATATATGTGAAGACTGCTCAAGCCTCAGCGAATTGCTGAGGAGACCTTCAGGTTATTCCAGCATTTAGCGATCAAAGGAAGCTTGCTTAGCACGATTGTTGTTGTCTTGTCCTTATACAAACAAAGGACAAACCCATACCCTTCTAAATGTTGGTACGGTACGGAGCCGACTAGTTGACTCTA